TCCCTCACCATCTCTGCATGCTACTTGTCCTGTTTGGGGAAGCGGGGGGATGTTGCTTTGCTATCCAGGCCAATTGTAAAATCTACAAAGGTTCACTCTGAAACAGGCTTTGGGGGTTGTGCTTTAACTATACTTCTGCAATTTAGCATAAATCCCTTGAAAATGGCCAATGCTGACAAGAGGTGGTTTTGGTGGTGGGATTTTTTCCCTCTGTGTTCCTGGATTCACACCCCTAGAGCACCTTCAACTCCCCCTTTCATTTCTTTTCTACACATAACATACATTTTAACTTTATCATATTCAGTTAAAACGCATTATTATATTAGGAGGATTCTAGGTGGCTATGTGCAATCCTTATCAAAAGGCAAAATATCAGTTGTTACTTTTACCTACTACCAAGCACTTTCAAAAAGCAGTTATTTGCACATGGCTCAGCTTAATATTTAGTGGCCTGGATGAACAGGTTTGTATTCTACTTTTCCAGGCTATTGCTTACGGCTGATGTGCAGGCTTATTGATTATATACAAGCTTAAGGACATTCATAACTTGAGGTCCTAGGTCTGCAGTCAGCACCCATCAGTGTAGTCTGGCCAGTCACTGCCCATGTCAGGGGAACAGATCCCCAGATTCCCTTAGCCAGGGTCTACACAGCAGATGGCGGGAGGGAAAGCCCCTGTGGTGGGGCCTTTTTGACCCTAAGTAGCCCTCCCTGCTCTCTCTTCCCAGCTGCTGATTGCTTTGGTGGCTGCCACAGGAGGGAGGGAGAAGAGGTCCTCCCAGCTGGATGCCTGCCCATGCAGCCCAGCATGGGGGCTCCTGGGAGTCCCTGCCTTGGGGGACTTCTCTTTACCCCAGTCCAGGGTCCCCCAGTCTGAGGCTGAGGACCAATCCACGTGTGCCTTAATTAAAGGAATAGCCCTGTGCCTTCACACATCAGCACCTTGCCTCTGGCCCTCCTGCTGCTGTGGCTGTGACAGATACCAGGGCTTGGGCAGGATGAGAGCTTTGAGGCATGCTTCCCCAGGGGCAAAAGAGCAGCTCTGCCAGCAGATGGCTACCGCAGACACCAAGGAAAGAAGCATAGATCGTATCACTGCCTGAGGTGGAAAAGGACAACCTTCAACTCTGGTGGTTACCAACCAAAGCATAAAGTCTAGGTAGGCACTGTGCTAAACTTAGGCTTAGCAAAGAAAGTGGGTCACTGGCTTGAATGGCAGATTACAAAGGGAGAAACCATCCCCCTTCTTGGCCGCGTCCAGATGACTGCAGTCATGTGGTATGTGGCACTGTAGACCTGTCTGTGGTGCCACACAGAGCACATGCAGGCATGCCCCGCACTGCTACCTTGTGGTGGGGGGGCGGGGGGTTGAGAGAGAACCTGGCTAGAGAGAACCAGGCTCTGACTGCAGGCCAGGCTCCCAGGTTCAGGAGCGCCATGGCTGCAGCTCCTGGAGGCGCCCAGCACCCCAGGTGAGGCTGCTGGGGCCAGCAGAGTTTCTGGCCCCAGCCTCGCTTACCCCACTCAGGATAACTTGCCACACAAGAGAACGTGTGGCATGGGCACTCCCTAGGGACAAGTAGAAGTGGTACAAGGTGTGCCACTGCTACTTGTTTCTGGGGAAACAAATGGCTGTGCTTGTCTGGATGTGGCCATTGAGACTGAAGAAAACCATTTTAAAATGACTAAATTCTGTTGCACTGAAGGAGGTGGAGAAGGCTGACACAGGAGTTTGTGCCTGTAATGGTCATTGATAATTGATGTTGAACGGTTCCACACAGTCCTAAGCCTCTTCACTTTCCATCAAAGTCACTCATGCAATCAGGATCTCCTGGCTCCAACTTCCACCAGCAGCTACCTGAAAATCCCATTACCAATACAAAGGGTGAAAAAGGCTTTTTTGAATGTGCTTGTGTAAAAAAATCCAACAGCTATGTTACATAAAGGTGAGGTACTTGCAATCCAAAAGCTGCCAGAAATTTAAACAGTGTTTTGTCAGGATCCTGCTTTAAAGATAAAACATAAAGATAAAGAAAAAATGAAGCATCCTGTGTCGTTGCAAAGGATGTTTGTGGCTTTGCCAGTGGTAAAGCATGTGTTTGTGAACAGTTTGTGATGATAAAAAACATCACAAGACTAAAAACACTGCTTTAGTGGATCAAGCTTTATGTCAGTGATAGATGTATCATTGGCACTGCATTTCTTACCTTTACGTGTTGTTTGATGATATATAAGGGAGCACCTTCTAAAACAGAGAATAGCCATAAGGCATCTAAGATGCCAAGGTGTAGGACTAGCTCTCCAAGCTTTCTGCAGTCCCCAGGAGATGGGGTCTTCCTGAGGAACTTGTTGGGATGGTTTTGCTTTGAAATATAAGTTATTTTCATTTTTAAAAGATATTTTTGGTTAGTGTAATGATCAAGAGATTAGGAAAAAAGCCAGTCCCAGGGACAAAGTGCTAACCCTTTATTAGGTGTTTATTGCACGGTGTAGATATAAATAGAATATTCTGCTCATATCAAGCTTAATTGTGAAAAACTACTGAGCATACCTGGAAGTGTTGAAGTCCCTCAGCTCTCACCAATTTCAACAGGAGATAATGGTGCCTTCAGCAATCCTCAGCACATCACAGGCTAAGGAAGCTTTCATTAGAGGTTCTCAGTGCTTTGCAATCTTTAATTAATAGGGAAGAAAAAAAGCCCTAAGCATCTGGAGAAGTAAACAATATTTTAATAGTATTTGAATATAATTTTAAACTAGGAGGAGTTGCAGGCACTAAGGAAATCAAAAGACAAGGCATGAAATCATCTTCAAAGGGAAATGATGGAAGCTCCATTCTGGAGACCTAGGCTGGAAAAAAACACTAGAAAAATATAATGAACAAGTATATACAGGCAGTGAGATGAACTGGATGATCAAACAGGTCTTTATAATTGTTGATTCCATGAATTACATAGTAATGAACTAGTACTTCTTAAACTGTCCTATCTCCTCACTTCTCAAAATGACCTATGTCTAGGGACCTACACAAATCGGTATTTCAAGGGGCAGGTCTGCATGACAAACAGCCATCTCAACCAATCAGCAGCGAGAAGCAGGGGCTGTATGATGGACAGCCTTTTCAGTAGTGGTGGGGATATGGACACTGGGGCCCCTCGGCCAATCAGAGGTGTGGGACTGCCCCCACCATGATAAACCCGTGAAAATGGCCTGTGATCTGCCTGTAAAATTGGCCAGCCCCTGCCTTGAGTTATGTAGACCCCTACCTATGTCCATGCTTCTCTCTGAACAAAATGCCTTCCTTTATACGTGCACCAAGAACTTGATTGGAGATTGATTTAGATTCGGCATTCAAAAAGAGTTTGTAACCAAACCACACCTTTGTGGCTGTTCAAAAATAAGTTTTGCGTGATAGGCAAGTACTGTATACTTAACCGAGCATTACACATAGTTAAGTTATACAGGATTATCCAGTTTCATTGGCTTTTATGCATCAGGAAAAAATAATCAAATATCAGAGAACAGAGCTGAGGCAAATGCTACTTGCCCGCAGGACACGTTGAAAAACCCACCTGTTTGCTATGGTGTTCTTGCTGTGGCAAAGACAAACGTGCAAAAACTTGAGCATTCAGATATACAGGCACACAACAGCGATATCGAAATAAGCAGTTCAAGGTTCCTGAAATCCAGCATAATCTAAACGGTTCATTTCCCCTCTGCAGCAGCAGGTGTCATGTGGGGAGGAAGGGGGGACATCTGCCAGAAGATAGTGATCCCTGCAAGAAGGAATGCTTGTTCAGCCATTGCCAGCCGCTAAATGTGACGTGTTTGGGAGCAGCATCAGCATCCAGGTGCCTCCAGCTTCATGATGGTGTAAAAGTGGTATCCAGACACACGTCTTATATTGAACCCAGGTTTTATACTGACTGACACACAGAGGCTCTGTGTGATGATGCATGGTAGGGTCCTTAGCAACTTGGGAAGGAATTCCCAGGATTCCCTCTACATGAAGAGCTCAAAAGCTGTACACGTTTTACTGTTGTCAAACCTGAACCAACCCCTTGAACACGAGAGAAGAAAATCACTCGAAGAATAGTTATTTTGTGCCTATACGTATTCCAGCAACAGCAGAACTCCTGCATTCTGCATCAGTGATGGCTGCAGGTACATGCTGAAAATAACCAGTGAACATGGAAAGGTAGTCACTTGTTCCACGCTAGAAAATGTCCTACCTCTCTTCTTCTCTAACCATTTACTACACCAAAAACACTACAGTGAGTCAATTACCCTATTGCTTTCTCTTTCTCTCTTCCACAACCTCTTCTAGTCACCCATTAAGCAGTCAGTGCACATTTGGCTTCACAAGTCACAGTCTTGTGCTGCCTTTGTATCAGTAGAGCCAGCACTGATAGGCAGACCCCAAGGAAAGCAGCCTGGTCTGTCTCACTCGGGGAGGTGTGCCATTACTGGCAAACATCAGATGGTAGAGGTGGATGGACGTAAGTTTGCTGTCTTGGTGTGTGGCACTGACGCTTAGCTGCGTTATTGGCTGGAGGGTGGGTGTGGGATCAGGCTACCTGGCTGCAGCTGTAGGGTGGGAGAGTAGCAACGCACCTAGAGTTGCGGTGGGTTTTTGTGCCAGTCTAGAAGGGGTTCGTGGCTCTGTGTGTACTCCCAGGTGGCACAGTAATAGTGCCCGCTGTCTGTCTTTTCCACCTTCCGCACCAGCAAGGTACAGGTGCTTTGCCTGACAATGGCTGTAAATTTCTCCCTGGAGAAGCCTGTGTCTCGCTTTACATTAGACCCCTCAAGAGTGAGGTAGAGCAGTCTCTGCAGCGCTTGTCCAGGCAGCGCTCTGTACCAGTGGACATATGTGGAAGCCGACCCTCCAGTCACCTTACAACTGATACTGACTGTGCTATGTAGATCGACTGGCTGTGTGATGGAAATCTGCTCTTGCTTCACGCTAATGGCTCTCAGCACGTCTGGAAGGCAAGGATAGGAGACAACATCAAAGAGGGGATGATAGCTAAGAGTTCCTACCCCAGACAGCAGTAAGTGTCCATGCCACCTAGGCATACATGAATATGTGAAACTGGGCTCAGGTCTCCTGTGTCCTATGTAGCCATTTGTGCATGGGCAATATGACTACAAAAACTGTGAGTTCTCCATTTCTATTTTACACCCTCTTTGCACAGGTGTAAATAATTAGAAAATGTGTGATCCAGGGTCAGCCAGTGAAGTAGAAGGTACTGGAGAACCAGTTCCAGTAGCTGCATACAGTATTGCAAATAACAAGAATAATTTGCTACAATTTAAAAGGTATTACTATTTATGGAAAGCAGCATGGGGGATTCAGGACCCTGACTACATTATAGCAAGTTTGTTCCATTTCAGTGCCACCGGTTTTACCGGGATTGCACCCACATGAAATTGCTGTTTGGGATTGGAGTATCAGGTCCATAGGGCTGTACAGAGAGAACAATAGATAATAGACAATAATTGTGTGTCCAGGGAACTTACAAGGAAAGATGCACACCATGAAGGCTTCCAGAAACCCCACCATGTCTCTCTGTTCTGTTGCAGCTCTTCTGGAGGAAAAGGTCAAATGAAGCTGATGCTGTTCACTCCTGAGAGAGAGAAGAAAGAAAGAAAACAAAATGTAAGATCATGAACCAGTCCTGACCAACCAACTAGGAGATGAAGCTTTTGTTGTTTTTATTGTCTCAGCTTAGTTTCCTGTTGCAAAAATGTAATAAAAGGCATACGTGTGTTCATGCAGGGTCCACTCATATGATTACAAAGGACTCCCTTTGCATGCATTTGTGACACACTAACCAGAAATGGTTCTCAGCATGCTCCCCTCCCACTGATGCAGTGTTTCACACAGTGATAAGTCTCTCTCCTTCAGTTCACTGGTGAAGGCACTTGATGAGGGCTCATTGTAAAGTGCAGTACTCAATTCCACGTGCTGTCACAGCTTGCCTGTGGTACCTCAGGCATGTTACCTTGTCTCAGATTGATGCGTGAGCAGTGTGCACATGACGCTGATGCACTTATGTTAGAGAGCCAAAAGTCTAGTTCTTCCTAAAGAATTAGACCCAAATCTTTCTGTCCCCAGGGGTGGCTGGTGCCTCCTGAGTTTGGGGGGGTGGGCCAAAAGCCCCATATCCACTCCTATACTTCTGTGCCATGTACTGGTTTCATGGGGCTTGCACCAGCATGAAATTGCTGCATTTGGCTGGTGTATCAGCTCTGTAGTCCTGTATAGAAATTCAATAATAAGCAACATATAATAAAGACATTAGCTGTAACAACTAAACCTCCCCCACCCCACCCCGCAACATGCCACTGGCCCATGCAGCAAAAAAAATGCCCTGTCCCGAGCAGTGCCAAGTCGGGGGCCAATCTCAGGGGGGGCACGTGCCCCCCCCCCCCACCAGTCGCCTGTGTCTGTGCCTTCTATTCCCTACCTCTAAAACAAGGATAACAATGCTTCCTTCTCACACCCTTTGTCTGTGTCAATGATATAAATTGTAATCTCTATGGGAAAAAGACTACTTGTTAGGTGCTTCTAGCTACAAGGACCAAGCATAATTGGTACCCTACAATATCACAAATAACAAGAATAACTTGCTATAATTTATTACTATTTATGGTACAGTAGAACATATAGGCCACTGCTCCACTCATGGTCCCACAATCATAAATCTTATTTAGATGTGAAAAGAGGCCTGATTCCTTTCTTTATAATCTAAGAAGAGAGTTTACACAGGAAAGATGGAAGGAGAAAGAGATAATGAAATGTAGCCTACAAGGCATTTCTTAGAAGGAGCCTTTTCATCCTCTCTTTCTTCAGTGACCAGGATTCATCCTCTCAATTTGGGTGTCATCTTAATAACAGCAGTGTGCAGAACTGGTCTGGCACATGGTACATGTGGTGTACTAGACTGGAACAGACACATACACTGCCTGAGGTGTGTGTTGCCCATGAAGTATGGGGCCAGCTCAGGGGGGTTGCTGTATACAGTGCCTAAGCTGCACCAGCCCTGCACACTGGATTTGGGGCCAGATCAGATCTGGCCCACAGACCATCCCCATGTTCAGGATCTAGCATGCAGGCTTAGTCCAGTGTAGGTGCTACATGCAGTACATGCCCCAGACCGGTCCCACGTGCAATGTGCAGTGCTCAGGGCAGGGGCTGGTGCAGGCTGCATGTGGTCCACAGGGCTGGAGCCAGTGAGTGTGCTGCACACAGCATGCCAGGCCAGTCCAGGGTGTACACTGCTTGTGGCACCCACATCAAACCAGTCCTGCATGCTACATCCAGCATGTGGAGCTAGTCTGTGGGCCCAATAAAACTCACAGATTGGCCCTGCAATCTTATCCAGCCCACAGCCAGATGAGTTGACACCCCTGATCTAGATGACATGTGTCCATGTGACATGCAACACAGTGACCTTTGTTTTCTAGCTGATATACCACCAGTTGGCATGTGCTCTTGATTAGAAACGTTTCATTAGAGAACTTGGTTGGGCTCACAAGCCTGAAGAAGAAAGGGTAGCTATCCCTCCTTTTTTCACTCCCAACCTCCTCTTGTCACTCATGAAGTAGTTAATGCATATTTGGCTTGACAGGGCACTCACTTGTACTGCCTTTAAAGGTGGAGCCAGCACTGGTAGGCAAGCCCTGAGGAAAGCAGGCTGTTCCCACTCATCCAGTGAAGCGAGGGATGGCTGAGCCATGTCCAGCTAACATCTGCATTGCTTCAGTTGGCAGAGCTGGCTGGAGGTCAGGCTGCCCTGTTGACATGTGGCACTGAGGCTAGGCTTCTCTACAAGCTGGAGCATGGGGCTAGGGTGTGGGGCTCTACTTGCCTGGCTGCAGCAATGAGGTAGGAGTTGAGCCCCACACCCAGAACTGTGCTGGGTTTTTTGGGCAGGGCTGGAAGAGGGTTGTGACTCTGTGGGAGGTCCCAGATGGCACAGTAGTAATCCCCGCTGTCCGTCTTTTTCAGATTCCTCACTATAAAATTGCAAGCTTGTTGCTTCCCATATGCTGAGAATTTGTCCTTAGAACCTATGTCTTGCTCTAGATTATCCCCAGAGAGAGAGAGGTAGAGGATTCTCTGCAGTGCTTGTCTAGGCAGCACTCGGTACCAATGGATTAAAGTGGAGCTGGACCCACCGGTGACATGGCAAGTGATCCTGGCAGTGCTGCCCAGCTTGGACTGCTTAACGATGAAGCTGGGCTCCTGCTCCAGGCCAATGGCCCACAACAAATCTAGAAAACACAGAGAAGGGAGAGCATCAGAAAGGGTATGACAGCTGGGAGTCTTCCTTTTTCAGAGGGCAGTGATCTGTAGGTGTGTGTGCAACCTAGGTATGCATAGGGACAGGACATCGGGCTCAACTACCCACTGTCTTATGGCCATTGACATGTGGGAAATATAATGGGAAAAGTTGTAAAACCTGATCAGTCTGAGTGGCTGATTTCTGTTTTGCGTCCTCTCTTTCTAGGTGTAAATAATTAGCTAATATGTGTTCCAAGGTAACCGAGTAAGAGAGCAGTGGAGAAAAAGCCTTATTGTCTCTTTCATATCGGGAGAGCAGCTAGTGGGGTTATTTACCCATTTGCATTACTCCAATTTCATGCTTCTGCAATAGTACTGGTTTCATGGGGCTTGCACAAGCATGAAATTGCTGCATTTGGCTGGTGTATCAGCTCTATAGTCCTGTATAGAAAATCAATAATAAGCAACATATAATAAAGACATTAGCTGTAACAACTAAAAAACTTACAAGGAAAGAGGCATGTTAAGAAGGTTTTCAGAAGCCACACCATGTCTCTTTGTCCTGCTGCAGCTCTTCAGAAGGGAACATCAAATGAAGACAGTGCTGCTCACTCTTGAGAGTGGAGAACGAAAGATTGAGAGATTTTTCAGTAATCCTGACCAAGCAAATTAGGAGAGGAAGCTTCTGTTGCTGCTGCTTTCTCGTTCTACCTGAGTTTCCTGTTGCAAGAACAAAATAGAGAGGGACTCCTGCTCGTTTGTGAATTTGTCATTATAATTATAAATTACTACCTGCGCATGTGTCTGTTCTCCACTAATCAGAACAAGTCCTCAGTGCCTTCTTCCTCCCTCTGAATAGATGTTTCACTTAGTGATGTGTGTCCAGTTTCTTTTGTGGCTGCAGCACTGAAGTACTACTCTGAAGTTCTCACCTCAGTTCCCACAGCTGTTAGAGACCATCTGTGTGACCTGGGACAAGCTACATAGGGTTTTACTGACAAATGTGTATAATGCCTGCTACTACAACTGACTTCAGCAAGAGGGCACATATTTGGCTCGTTCTGAAAAGCTAGTCCAAATTTCTCTGCCTTAATTTCCTATCTCTAAAATAAAGATATTCCTCCCTTTCTTCCACTTTTTCTCTGTCAAACCTATCTAGAGTCACTCTAATCCTCCTTGGGTGCAGACAGCCTCTCACTAGGTATGTCTAAGTGTTTAACACAAAGAAGCCTCAGTCTTAGTTGAGGCCCAACTGTACCCAAGGACATTTCAGATAATGAAAATCAAATCACTTTATGTATTATTATTTACCGTAGACTACAACCTATAGACTTCAATTAAGATTGAGGTTCAGTATTCCTAAGTGTTGCTCACATGTGCAAATGGGCCTGGCCCTTTGCTTTACAACCTAAGAAAAAAGATTCTACAGGAGTGTCTGCGAGAAAGGTAGATATATGGATATATCTATACATATATCTATAGACATATAGATTATAAAGCATATAGGAAAGGGAGTATTGCCATTATATAGTTGTTTAGTGCATAGTACAAGGCACTGGCCAGTCAATGTGAGTGCCACCTTAGCAGAAATGACAACAGTTCATTAATAATAGTATTGCTACATCGGCATTTTAGAAATATTATTTTAAATAAATATTCCTTCTCCAAATAGAAAGCAAAAAACAGCAGCACTGGGGTATTCAAAAAGTACAGAAATAGAGAAGCAAATAAAGACATAAGCAAGTTGATTTTCCTTCAGTCTGGGAGATACAGAAAGCAGACTCCACTAGGATTTCTCCTTGGACACCACCATCAGAACCTACATTGTCTTCTGTGCCACCACGGTGATGGACACTGTCATCCTACTCTAACTAGGTAGATAGAAAGATGAGACCAGTGCCAGATCATTAAAATATATACAGTAGAGTACAGTTTTTGAATGATCAATGCAATATTGAAGGGAATTTTATACTACATTGCTCATCGGGGATTAGTACACCACAAAGATTTACATCCTGGAAATGCCAATGCCATGCCATGCTTCCTTGGAGTGAAGCCCTTGAAAGTCATCGAAAATCTTACAACTTTCACAGTACTGATCCCTGAGCTCTGCCCATATTGTGCATGCAAAGGAGCCAACCTATTCATTTTATGTTTTATTCACTTTCCTATAGCATGACAATCCCCGAATCTCCTGTGCCTTATTACTCACACTGTTATTACATGTTCAGTGGGGCAAAACTGGTTTTGCCTGTATTATTGTAATGCCATTTCCCTGGATGCAGTGTCAGCAGCCAGGGTCAGACTTGGGCCCTACATATATTAATCCATGAACTAAACAGGTTATTATACAGTGTACACTCCAATTTCTGTTGATTAACTGCCATTAGAAGGAAACAACACGAGATGGAGTGTGGTGGTAACACCAGCACATCTTGTATTCTTGTCCTGTGGTTTCTTTTCTTGAATCAATGCAATGCTCATGGAGGTGACAAAGGCAGGAGAGCTGGTGCAGCATGGAGACAGGTGATTTTAACACAGTATAAGTTAGACCCACTGTAGTTAGGATGTGCCAGTGGGGTAGCCCCGTGTATGCTAGGCTCTAGCCTACTGAAAATTGTGTCGCTGTGTGCTTAAGTTGCTTTCCGTAGTAAACAAACTAGTTTTCCTTTCCTTCCTGTTCTCTATTCATTTAACAAACTCTCTGCAGTCATATATCCTCTGAGCCTCCCATCCTGGTTAATTGACCTCCTGAAGTCATTAATTGACTTCCTGCTTCAACTGGCTTACTTGCTCAGCTACCACTGGTAGGCAGGTGCAGTGCCTTTCATTAGGCAGCTCCATTTGCCTTGAAGGGATTCAATCTCAGCTCAGGGACCTCCAGGAAGGGAAAATAATGCTATTGTACTGGATAGGATAGGTGTGGAAGAGCCGCTCTACTGTATAGCACAGGTTGGGGGCTGTGAATCAACCTATTCAGCTGCCTTCCACTCCTGTAGTGCTTTTTCTGCAAGGCCAGAGGAGGTCTGTGCCACCATGTTTATGCTCATACAGCAGTGTGACACTGGCCAATGCCTTTATTTTCAAGCTAGTGTCCCACCAGTTGGCATGTGCTTTTGGTTACAAAATAGGCTGTGAATTTCATGCAGGAGAAACCTGCCTCATGACTGGGGTCAAGCCTGAAGAAGGAAGGGTAGATGTCCCTTCTCTTACTCCCAAATTCTTCTTGTCACCCATTAAGAAGTCAATGCGCATTGGCTTCCAGGCTGCTTTCTCCAGGGCCTGCCTACCAGAGCTGACTTCACCCACCTGGGTCAGGTAGGTGATGACTGAGCCAACAATGGATAACATCTGCATTGCTTTTGTTGGCAGAACTGGATGGATGTAAGGCTCCTGTCTTGGTACGTGGCACTGAGGCTAGGCTGCTTTATAGGCTGGAATGAAGGGGTGGGGGTGGGACTCAGTGTGCCTGGCTGCAGCTGTAGGATGGGAGTGGAGCACCGCACCTAGAGTTGTGGTGGGTTTTTGTACAGGCCCACATGAGTTTTATGACTCTGTGTGAAATCCCACACCGCACAGTAATAATACCCACTGTCTTTCTTTTCCAACTTGTGTATCTCCAAGGTGCAGACTCTGGGATTTGCAGAGGCTGAGAGTTTATCCCAGGAGATGCCTGACTCTCGTTTCATATTGGACCCATCGAGAGTGAGGTGAAGCAGTCTCTGCGGTGCTTGTCCAGGCAGTACTCGGTACCAGTGGACATACGTGGAGCTTAACCCATCAGTTATTTTGCAAGTAAATGCAGCAGTGCTACTTGAATGGGACTGCTGAACGATTACACTCGGTGTCTGCTCCAGGTGGATGGCCCACAGCAAATCTAGAAGGCAAAAGAGAGGATGACAGCTAGCAATCTTCCTTCTCCAGATAACAGAGACATGCAGCTGTTCATGAAACCTAGGTATACACCAGGATGGGACACTAGACTCAATTCTCCACTGCCTTGAGCTCACTACTGCGATTGGTCTATTTAAGTCACACCAGGAATAAATAACTAGATAATGTATAATTCAACATCAACACAAAAGGTGGGGGCAGAGGAGAGACTGAGCTGGGCAACTGTCCAGGGTTGGTGGTTGCAGCACGTAGGGCAATGGCATAGGCTGGGTTGCCAGTGGTGCCAGTGGCTTTTCTTTTTATGCCCCCTATAACATCTGGGTCTGGCACCCTGCTTTCCACCTCCTTAGTTATGCAAGCACCATTATGCATTAGGAAAGTAGTATGCAGGTTTATTTATTCCTGGTTATACTAAGACAATACCATCCTATCATGTAGAATTGGTTTCAAGCGGCACACCTATAAGTTTGTAAAAAAAATTTCTCAGAAAAACATTAACTAATTATTGTATTCAAAGAACTTACAAGGAAATAGGCATGCTAAGATGGTTTCCAGGAACCCTACCATGTCTCCTTCTTCTGTTGCAATTCCTCAGGAAGGGAAGATTTGAGTCAAGCAAAAAATGCTTCTCCGTCTTAAGAGAAAGAAAAGAAAGAAAACAAAGGTCAAGATTGTTAACCAAGCCTGACTAATGATCCAAGAGATGAGGGTTCTGGTGTTGTTTTTCTCGTCTTGGCCTAGTTTCCTGTTTCACGAACGTGATAGAGGTGGCTAGAACTGGTCATGTAATTGCAAAATACTCCCTGTGCATATACATTAACCACCATAGGTTCTCAGTGCTCTCTCCTCCCACTGATGGAGTGCTTTCACACAGTACTACATACCATACAGACTTCTATGGCCAGAGCACTAGATGAGGGCTCCTCGTGAGTCTAAAGTCAATTTGCCATGTTGTTGTGCCACAAACTCCCTTGGCAAAGTTACCTAGGGTTTGACTGGAAGAAATGCAGAGCTATTGCTACTCGGTTTGATTTCAGCTGGAAGGCAATGCTGTGGTTTTCCTAAAAAATTGACCCTAAATCTTTCTTGCTTTTCTGTAAATGAGTAGGGTAATTCTTCCTTTCTCCCACCCTTTGTCTACATATCTACTTAGACTCCAATCCCTGTGGGGAAGGACATCCTCTTAATATATTTTTTACAGCACCCAGCATAGTGGGGGTCACTCTCAATGGGGACCTCTAGACCTTACTATGGCATGGATAATCATTAATACTGGGCTAATTAGTAGAAGCCATTGGCCCAGTTGATGTCACAACATGTCCTTCGATCATTTTAGGTGTCACCCTAACATAAATAACCACAATAAATTAAGAATACTATTACACTGGCATTTTATATTACATTGGCCATTGTAATCCTACACAGCAGACGCAGCTAAGCAGTTAGCTTAGAGTGATGAATCAATCCCACATAGTTAGTTATACAGAATAGAGTAATATCCACCCTGAAGGGTTACATCAGTGCCATACCATAGCTTTGACTCTGTTGAATAATTTTGCTATGACCAATGAAGAGTCAGTAGAGGTGATAATGGACAGAGAGCTATAATGTGAAGTGGACACGGGCAGTTTTTGCACAGTATAATTTAACCCTGATTTAGACCCAGGTTTGGCAGTGGGGTAGCAAAATTTCCTGTACCCACATATGCTAATGGGCAAGGACTTTCCATTGCTACAAAGTGTTAGCGGAAGTGTACTTTCAGTTGCTTGTTCCTAAACTAGAAATCCCCTTCCCCTCATCTTCCCATTTCATTTATCCCCAACTCTCTGAAGTCTATGGCCTTCCCAGCCTGCCTTCCTCATTTACTGATCTCAGCATGCTCAGTTCATGCATTGCAACAGTCTCTTTACCAGGCATTGCTTGCTCTGCCCACATAATTAGGCAGGTGCTAGAGAAGTGAGTGTAGAAAATTTGCATGCTTTGAGGAACAGTCGCAGCCTGGGTGGTCAGACTTGGGATAAGGAACAAGACTGCTGTA